GGAGGTTAGTTTAGAACTTACAGAAAAAGGGGCATAGCAACTATTAGCAAAAGTTTTTTACTCTTCAAGTGTGTCACAGTCACCACTGTATTCACAACAAATCCATTAGGCCAGGTATTTTTACATGGCTGATAGCTGCACAAGCGATTCATAATCATTTGCTCTCAAACTGTGCTCAAGATCTCAGTTTTGCCTTCCTACATTAAGTTCTTTCAAACTTCACTTCTAAAAATGTACCAGGGCTTCTTCCAAGCCTAAATTTGCAATTAATAGTTAAAAACTCCCCTATATAATGCAAACACTGTGGCTCACAGTGGCCACCAAGGCCAGTTTAGGGAAGACTGCTATCTTATGCCCTAATAGCATGTAAGAAATATGTACAGCTTTCAAACTTCTCAAAAACCAATAAGCTCAGACAGGGCTTTACTTTTATTGAATTCTTTTGGGATTCCAGGAGATTTAACTACTAAAAAATTGCTTCTGTTGCAACAGTGTCAGTCAGTGATTTAATAGCAGTCTGTTTGCCTATTTAAAAGGAATTTATATGCTTCACTCTAAATTGTTTGTCTGATAGATTAGGATTTACTCTAGAAAGTGAGCAAGTGGAGAAAATTTTTGTAGTATCTTGGGTTCTAAACATCCTGTTTAAATGTAATAGGAATTTCCTATCTACAAAATGAATATATCAGTGCAAATAAAAAAGTGAATTAGTTCTACTAATGGACTATCTTTTTGAAGTAATAAAATCTGTGATGTTTACAAAACATAAATTGAATGGCTATTTGTAAGGTGATTATTACAGTAGAACCTCAGAGTTACGGACACCTTGGGAATGGAAGTTGTCCGTAACTCTGAAATGTTCATAATGCCGAACAAAGCGCAGTTTGGGCTTCAGATCCAGCAGCTGAGCTCCCTCAGCACCAGCAGCTTCCTTGCAGGCAGCTTCTTTCCCTGGGTCGGACTGAGTTTGCAAGCTTGTCCCTCTCCCAGCCGTGTGTGTGTGTGTGGTGGTGGTGGGGGGGGGTTGTGTGTGTGAGTGTGTAAGTAAACAGCATGTCCCCCTCCCGCATCTGGCAGTGGTCTATGTTTGATGCTTTAGAGAAGGTACTGCCAAATCCCAATAATGCATTTGGTGAAGTGTAATGCTATGCATTGGATGGTCTGGGAGGGATCCCTTCTCAACCCTTTTGTGAGAGTCAATTTATATCTTCAAGTATCAGGGGGTAGCCGTGTTAGTCTGTATCCACAACAACAACAACAACAACAAGGAGCCCGGTGGCACCTTAAAGACTAACAGATTTGGGCATAAGCTGTCGTGGGGAAAAAAAAACCACTTGTGAAGAAGTGGTTTTTTACCCACGACAGCTTATGCCCAAATAAATCTGTTAGTCTTTAAGGCGCCACCGGGCTCCTTGTTAATTTATATCTTGAAGCATGAGACCTTATTACTCTTCTCTTAGCTTGCATAGCTACAGATACTATTGATCATAGCATTTACTCCTATAATCACATGGACACAGATAAGCTGAGTGGACTGTGCTTTATGAGTTTCATGAGGGAAGCGAAATTGCAGATCTCTGCATCTTCCTCTTTCCTGTGACTTTTGTTCCTGTAATAGAGAGCTTATGAAAAAACCCTCCAGTTGACAAATAACTGCTTAATTCTGCAGATGATTTATTTAAGGGTGGGTTTGTGAAACAAAGGTTTGTTTCTTAAAAGGAACTTGACACTGAACCTTGTAAAAAGAAAACAAGCTGTGGTTTACATAGCTGAAAAGGACGGTCTATACCCTTTTGCTATTATTTCAGAGATTTCTGTTTACATAATTTTATCCCCCGCACAGCCCAGTTTCTCCAAGATGATAGACCACTGTTACCTGAGTTAAAGGAGACTCCCCATTAACCATTAGTGTTATAGGGCCTAAGACATACAGAAGAACATTTGAAAATTGCTCTTGGAGTGAATTCCTGTGTTTCCCAAACTTCTGTCAGTAGCAAATGATTACAGCCAGGTTAAAAATCTTTGGAACTGCTAAAGTCTGTAAGGGAATTAATAGCTATATTTTCGCTTCAAGTAATAGTAGTGATTTAAAGAACTGTTGTATTGAACAATATAGACATCTGATTTCATATTTGCAGCTTTTATGTGCTGCAGCAGTGTATTTTAATCTTATGTTTCATTATGCTGTTCTTACTGTTTGATAACTGGAGAGTATTTTTAAAACTGGAAAAATACATTTTAAATTTAGCACAAAAATTGGTGTGAGCTGTTCCTAGAATAAGTATCACTTTCTTTCTGTTTTCTTTCCTTCCATCTAAAGAGAGACAGCGAGATGATCTGCACGATTCACCTGCATGTATGTTGTGTAAACTATTAGGAGTGCATGAGTGTCTGGATAGCCTAAGAATGTTAAAGATGAATTGACAAGTAGTTAAGGCCCCAAATGCAGGTTTTGCATGAAAGAAAAGCTTTACAAATTAAAGGGCTTGTCTTCACACTCTGTTATGGAAATAAGCTATATGGATGTAAGCAGCTTTATACCCATATAATTGTGTCCACAGTGTGGAGTTGCACCAATCCAAACGATCAGGTTTTAAATTGATACAGGTAAGTCAGTACTTAAACTGTGTGTTGACCAGCCCTTAGCATAAAGAAATGTCTTTGTGAAAACTTAAATAAACACTTCAGCAAAAACAGTGTTATATTCTTTTGGTGGTGAAATATTTCCCAAGAGTGTTGGACCTCTGGCACCCTCACAAAACCCAGATGCAATTGTGCTATTGCATGAGAGCCAGGAAGTGAATCTAAGAAAGTGAAACTGACTAGTCTAGTTTTCTGATCAAGCTGAGTATGGTGCAAACCAGACTGCATGCACTTTTTTTTTTTTTAAGTAGAGGTTTCTGAATATGTGAGCAGTCTGTCTTGAGTTCCTTGACTATTTACTTTTCTGATAGCATATTGCAACAGTCTTGAAAACCCATCTTCCCTAGATTTGCGGGAAGGTCTTGCACTTGACCCATGACGTTGATGTTCTAAAATCTTGAAAACTGGTAATGGAAAAAGCTGATTATCCCATCTACCAGGGACCAGGGTAGGATTGTTCCTACAGTATATTTTCCAGTACACTGTAGTGCTAGATGCTTTAAGTGATGGGGCAGCAGTCTATTAATTACTTATTACAGTAGAACCTCAGATACAAACTAGGGTATAAATCTTGCCTAATTTCACCAGCTAGTAACGCAAACTGCCTGACTGGGGAGGAAAAAGTTATTGTGTGAGCAGGTAGCATTTTTAACCTGCTCTTAGTACAGCAAACTGTCACCCTGCCTGGAGTCTGGCTTTATCAAAAAGGGAAACAAATTCCAGCCTGAGCCTCAGGCTTGGCTGTTCCTAGGTTCTTCCCTTTGGCCCTAACTGTCCCAGACCCTGGATCCTTCTGCCCAGAGTATCACTCCCACCTCCCTTATAGGAATGGAGGAGTTAACAAGCCACACCTAACACAAGACTGCTGTAATCAGCAGCTTTAGACAGGGCCTATCACCTACCTACATGGTGGATCTTCAGAGCATCCCTCTTTGGGTGACCGATCTTATTTGACACACCCAACAGTAGGTAACACTCCAGCCAATTCGAAACTACCATTTCTAGAGTATTTTCTGATAGCCAAAGCATATAAGACTGTTCTTTAAACTCTTCAGAATCCAGTTTTTAAAACTGGTATAGAGCTCAGCCATTCCTACAGTATCAAAATCCACTCTGCAACGTAATTATATCTGCAAAATTATTCAGTGTATAAGATACAATATACAATAGTGAATGTGGTTATCGTGATAACTGTAAAGACAATGAGGCACGAAGCCAAATGACAAATACTTCCAGCACCCAAAACATGCCTTTAGCTCAAAAATCACTTATAAAATGGAGGGTTTTGTTTTTAAAACAATAAGAGCACTGACATTTATAACCTTCTTAATCTTTGTTCATTTACAAAAATTTTAAATATATAGCTTAAAAAAAAATATATATAGCTGACACCTGAGGCCAGGTCTACTCTAAAAAGCTAGGTTGACCAATCTATATCACTCCTGGGTGTGAAAAATCCACACCCCTGAATGATATAGGTAAGATGACCTAACCCTCATTGTAAGCAGCACAAGGTCAACAGAAGAATTCTTCCACCCACCCTGCTACTGCCTCTCGAGGAGGTGGATTAACTACAGCAATGGGAGAACCCCTCCTGTCGCTGTAGTAAATGTCTACGCTTAAACCACTAAGGCTTGGTCTACACTAAACCCCCAAATCGAACTAAGGTACGCAACTTCAGCTACGTGAATAACGTAGCTGAAGTTTGAAGTACCTTAGTTCGAACTTACCTCGGTCCACATGCGGCAGGCAGGCTCCCCCGTCGACTCCGCGGTACTCCTCTCGTCTAGCTGGAGTACCGCAGTCGACGGCGAGCACTTCCTGGTTCGACTTATCACGTCCAGACAAGACGCGATAAGTCGAACCCAGAACTTCGATTGCCAGCCGCCGAACTAGCGGCTGGGTGTAGACATACCCTAAGTGTCATTGCTGCAACTGTGTCACATGCTATTTGAAGTTTTTGCACTGGGATACTGGTTTTTAAGTTTCAGTTCTACTCATGGGGGTCTCATAGCAAATGCAGTTCTGAGTAAACTGAAATCCTTTCGAAAGAAAAATCCACCCAATCAGCTTCTAGTGTCATGCAGTTAGACCTCAACCTTACTGTATTGGGGCAGGGGAGGAAATCAGAAAAAGTCATTGTAATAGCACATTGTCAAAGGTCTATACTTGGAACACTCAACATCTCGGCATTTTTCAAGTAGCAGCAAACTCCAGTGGCAACGTTCTGTTCTGCATGTGCTCTCACTCTCTCTCTCTGGGCATAACAGTCATAACAAGCAAAACTCATAGAAACAACCCTATAACAGTAAGCAGACCAGAATATTTAAAGGGGGAAAAAAGTCACTTGAACCAACCTGACTCATTCCTTTTGAAATCTCTACTTGCACTGGAGACCGTGTTTTCTGTAAGGCAAAACACAACACAAGAACGATAAACAACAGAAAAAAAGGAAGGAAATGCAGCAGTCATGTTCGTGCTGTGGTTATCTGATGCAGTGACTGATACATTTCTCAGGACACTGCAAAGGCTGCACACTCACTTGTAAAACAGACCTAGCTCCCCTCCCAACCGCCAGAGGTTGGCAAATTAAAACTTTATTATGTCCTTCATATTTTTGTTTTTTAACGAAACACGGGATGTGCCAAATTACACCTAACCATTAGTCTATCAAGCCCGGTAACCCGCATCTGGCAGTGGTCTATGTTTGATGCTTCAGAGAAGATACTGCCAAGTCCCAATAATGCATTTGGTGAAGTGTAATGCTATACATTGGATGGTCTGGGAAGGATCCCTTCTCAACCCTTTTGTGAGAGTCAGTTTATATCTTCAAGTATCAGGGGTAGCCGTGTTAGTCTGTATTCATAACAACAACAAGGAGCCCAGTGGCACCTTAAAGACTAACAGATTTATTTGGGCATAAGCTGTCATGGGTAAAAAAACCACTTCTTCACAAGTGGCTTTTTACCCACGACACCTTATTTCCAAATAAATCTGTTAGTCTTTAAGGTGCCACCGGACTCCTTGTTAATTTATATCTTGAATCATGAGATCTTATTACCCTTCTCTTAGCTTGCATAACTACAGATACTACTGGTCATAGCATTTACTCAGTGCTTTTACAAAACCACACAATGCTATCTGACTCAATTACTATATGTTGCAATATCCCAGCCAACTATTACTGCAACTCATGCACTGTAAAACAATATACGCTTGTACAGCACTTTCCATCTGATGATCTCAAAGGCTTTACATACATACATTAATCCTCACAAACTCCTGTGAGATAGGAGAGTACCATCCCCATTTTTAGAGAAAAAAGCAAATTGCAGAGAGATGAAGTGACTTGCCCAAGATTATACAGCAAGTCAACAGCAAAGTCAGAAATAGAACTGAGGTCCCCTAATTCCCACTCCCTGCTGTGATCACTGAACTATGCTCCCACAAGTCCTGTGTGTGTTTCAGTAACATTATACTGCAACTAGCAAAAACCCCGCCCTTTAAGTTTAAAAGTTAATTTACCTGTCTGTCGACTCTTTCTTATACTCGGTCGAACCAAAGGCGATATATCTACTATGCCAAATGCACTTTTACTCCCTAAAACAAGGGAGAAGCATACATTAAAAGTGTAACATTTTGAAAAACTGGGTTCTGATGGGTTTATAGAACAGTTTGACACACTTCCACTAACCAGAGAAAAAAACTCTATAAATATGCTAGTTTCTGATTGGCTGGACTGTTAACTCTTATGAGACTGTTGGGTATGGCAAATAAGATCAGGGAGTCACCAAAGCAGTCACTCCTCCCCCACAAGTACTTTAACCCTCCACTCCATCTCTTCAAGAACATGGTCTTCTCAAGTCCACAACTCCAGTTTGGCAATTTTCCTGAGGTTTGCAGGGTCTGTGCAGGTCAAGAAGTGGCTAGTGTATCCAGGGTATTGGCAGCAAAGTGGGAGCAGAAGCAAAGGGGATGCGGGGACAGGAACAGGAGCTGAGAGTGGCAGAGACAAGCAAGGGGAATGGGGCAGAAGGGTCTATTACCACTAGAGGACACTTCCCTCTGGAGGCTGGAATTAATCCCAGGATCCTCAAGTCTCAGCATTCTTCTGCCATATAGCAAATAGCTGAAAAACCCACTGACAAAGTGTGTGCCTCATCACCCTCTAATAGCTGGTCTACACAGAAGCTTATAATCCACTACCTCAAGCAGTCACTCATTTAGTTCAAGGGGTACTGGCCAGTGCTCTGGATCTGAAGATCAAAAATTGCACTTGCTTAAGGTGCAAGGCAGGCAGAATTCACTCCTGAATGAGTGAGAGCATAAGATTCTATGACAGGGACTGAGACAGGTCATGCTTTGAAGTCATTCATTCACCGCATGAGTCAGACCAAACTTCTCTAAATGAAGCAATGTCTGATCCTGCCCCAAAATCTGCCCCTAGATCAATCCTAAAGAATCAATGATCAGGCTCCATGAAACTTCCCCATGCGTCATCGAGGAGCTAAAGAGGAAGTGAAGTTTCTCACCCAACCTTCCCCAAAAACCCTAATCCTAGAGAGGTTAAAGCATCAAAGAGGCCCAGAGATCAATAAAAGTAAGATAACAAGTCCTAAAAAAAATTGTTTAGTAATACCATCCTTCTAATTCCTAATCATGTGGAATAATTGAACACCAATGGATTAGGAAACCAATCGTTGATTCAAGAATACTTCACTGTATGAACAACAAATAAATACTGTTTTTTTTTTGGCCTAGCAGAATCCTACATACAAATGTTTGATTTTGATGTATCTAAACTATGTGCTGAGACCCAAGGGGCCTCAATATTAAAAATATTTTTGGAATATTATATTTTTTATTAATCATAAATTAATGAAGACTATACAAAAAAATAACTGAATCAGACTCCTACTAATTTCCTTGCAAAGGGCTTTGGATACCTTTTTCACAGTAACTATCCTGTTAAGGTGTATTTGAAAGAGCACAACAGTGCCTTTACTGTGCAATAGCAATTTAAAATCTATTAGTGCCTACCTTAAGTATTTGAAAGAAGACACGTAATACTGCAGAGTGAAGTCTAGTATTTCTCTGCAGATAGGTAAATTATTGAAACTGGGTACTGTAGATATTTTAAGGAACTAATTTATTGTTGGATAGCAATTCATAAGATCCAGGAGGGGAAGACTTCCTCTAACTGGGAAAGGAAGGGAAAGGAAGCCCACTGTTACCTTCTGTCAAGTGTGTCTGGCTGTTGTAATTTGTGTTGTCCCTTTGTCTTCTGGTTCTGTATGTGGACACTTCGTCTTCAAAACAGTCACAGAAAAAAAACAAACAGGTACTTTAGAAACAAACAGGTAATTTAGTGTACACATCTATAGAAATAAAAATGTCTGAATCAGTCTGGAAATTCAATTTTTATTCAGTTTATAAGAGCACTGAGATTGAATTAGTAAAGTCACTCATATAACCACATAAGAGACGCAAGTTGTGCATAAAAGAATTATCAAATATTGAAATGCACAGGCTTTACTATTCAACTTAAACCTTCCTGCTTAATTTTAAGAGTGCAAGGATAGGAGACGAAATAGATCTCAGCAATTAACCATTTAAATTAAATATTTTTTATTGTTTAAACAGTTAACTTTTTAAACAGTATTTAAATCCCTACCAGAAACTAAACTGGTTCTTAAAAAACAAAAAAAACAAAAAAAATGAAGTCTAAACCCCTTATGGTTACACAGAGAACATTCAAACTGTGAGCTGACTGGAAACAGATGTAATGAAGCCTGACAAAGTCGGCAGAGAGCCTGAAACAACTATTCAGAGAAGTGTGAAATACATTAAGGGATGTGAAGAACTTTGCAGGAGAGCAGCTATAAAAGTAGCCCCCTCTCATGCACAGATCTAGAACTATGTAGAAGCCAAAAGTTTTACCGCACTTTAGATTTACTACATGGAGAATGAGGCAGGCCTGCTTACCAATTAACACTGATACAAAGTAAAGCTGAATTCCATGTTTTAAATTTATACTGAAGTAACAGAGCAAAATTTGGTCTCTGGTGCACAGGGAATAAGGTAAGAGTGAACTCACTGCGCAGGATCAAGTCTACAGGTTATTTAGTTAAAAATATTTGAGTACGTTTTATTTCCATTGAGGAAGTGTTCCATGTCAACAGACATAGCAATTGTATAACACACAGCCTGGCTCTTCACTTGTTTCAGTGAGCTATTTAAATATAAATGTCACACACTTTACACACAGGGACCAATTCTGCTATCCTTACTCACTAAGATGAATGCTACTGCGTAAGTCATATGGTATTACACAACATGAGTAAGAGTAGCAAAATTAAGCCTTCGCAGTGCAGAGTCCAACCTGCACAACGAACGAGGCAGGAGCCCACAAAAAGTATGTAATCATATAATTAAGTATTGTATTGTAATAAATATTTACAAGGGGGCTGAATTAATGGTGTACAAGTAACTTCAGCTTTGTCATTCCAGTCTTTTGGGGATTCACTTTAAAAAATACCTTCTATACAACTTTAATGTAACATGTCAACTATTTGATAACTACAATTCATTGGCAGATAGTGTATTTTTAACACCTTCTGGTCCTTTGAAAGAAAACTGATGTTGGACACAAAGTTATGTTGTGGGGAGACAGCTAAGAAGAATGTAGCACACTGCACAACTCAACCATCTCCATGTAGATTCCCTAAAGATTTTTACCATAGACAAAAACTGGTGGGAAAATGCCCAGCGCAATGCCCAAGCTGAATGTCCTCTGTACCACATCTCTTCTCTCCCTGCCTCAGACAGGCCAGGCCACTGAAGGTTAATAGCAAACTCTACCCTCCTTAAAATGGCAACCCTGCTAGAAACAAAAGATACACATTGACGGTACGAAAGAAAACAGATGCAAGCAGGTAAGAGAATGGAATTTAATTGTACCCAAAATAAAGATGTCATTCTGCTTTCAAAAGCCAGTTGGCCCGACCCTGTTTCTTGCAGCACAACTGATTTGCTTAAACCAGATTAGTTTACTGGCCAGATGTCACTGTCACATTAACGATTCCGATGGAGCCGGGTTGCCCCATCTTCCCCACCTGGGTCTGCCCAGCCTTCCTTATCTTGGAAACAGTTTTAAGGGAAGCGTGTAAAGCCCCTCATGCTAGCGAAGGAGACTTTTGCTGCCTGCATTTCATTCACCTGCCCCTCTGAAGCCGTTTAGTTGCCAATGACAGAAGTAAAGTCTGCTGCGTTTAAGCTGTCCCCTCCGGACACTGAGCAGGCAAACTCAGGGAGAAGCTGAGACGCGGGGTACGGGGAAAGGAAACCCAACCCAGCCCCAGCGTGCTGCAGCCAAGCGGTGCCTCTCCCCTGGGGAGCCCCGCACGTGTTGGGTCCAGCATGCACGCACACGGGGTGCACCGTGACCCCCACCACGGTGATGGTCTCCCCGATCCCCAGCCTAGATGCTGAGCACGGCAGCTCTCACTGAACCCAATGAGGGCTCAGGACCCTGACACCCCCCCACCCCCGGGGCCCCGCCCCGCCGAGCCCGACCGGCTGCAGGGACCGGTGAGGCAGGGACCAGGGCGCCCTCCCCTCCCGGGCGAGCGGGGCACGGTCTACCCCCACCCCACGCTGGTACGGGATCATGCCCGCGCCCCCCATTACATCGCTCCCTCCCCCTGGGCATCCCGCAGCGCTCCGAGGCCCCCGCCCGCGTCCCTTCACCGCACCCCAACGTGCCCTGAACCAGAGGATGCAGCAGGGGCGCGACGCGCGCCCGCCCGCACCAACAGCGCGGGTCGGCAACCGCTCCTCAGTCACTCACTTTCCGAAGCCTCAGCGTCCCGCCGCCTGGTCTCCGGCCCCGGCTGCTTGGCCCCGGTTCTCTGCCGTGTCTGCATCTCCACCGCTCCCTGGCTCAGCGACTGCCTGGAGCGCAGATAATAGGCTCCTCTCCGCGCTCGCTCCTTCCCCGCTCTCCCACCTTGGTCCTCGCGGAACGCCTCCTCCGCCAGCCGCGTTTCCATCCGGACACGCCCCTCCACTGCGCTCCTCCTCGGGCTGAAGCCGCCGCACTGCAGCCCGCTGGTGATAGGCTCTGCTGGTTCGATAATCTCACTTCCTGTCGGCCATGTTGAGGGGCGGAAGTTTATTTGGGGGGGACCCGTTCCTCCGGGTGGTCGCCATTTTGGGGGGCGTTTCTCTTGCTGTGCTTTTCCGGAGCGGCTTCCCTCCTCATTGGGAGGAAGTCACGGGACGTGATGCAGCAGCACCCCGCCCAAGGCCGAACGCTCCCGCGTGGCCTGGCTTGCTCAGCCCCTGTTCGCTCCCATCCCAGCTGCGGAGAAACCCGCTCCCCGCCATCCCAGAAACGGCTCCAGCAGCAGCTCTGCCCAAGAGTCAAGAGCTGGGTCTGTCGATCCCCTCCCAGCTCCCTCTTTCTTCCCCTCTACCCCCTTTTCTATCCTTCCTTCCCTCCCGCCCCTTTCTCGCCATCCTCCCTCCGTCCCCTTTCCCCAGAGGAGGGGCCTGGCAGCTAGGGGCGATCCCCCCAGTTAGGGTGACCAGACAGCAAGTATGAACAATCCGGACAGAGTGTGGGGGGGTAATAGGTGCCCATATAAGAGAAAGCCCAGACTATTGAGACTGTCCCTATAAAATCGGGACATCTGGTCAGCCTACCCCCAATTCCCCATGGAAGTCCCTTTGCCCCGTTTTCTACCACCCCCCTCCAGGCACCTGGGCAAAGCAAGGGCCAAGCGAAGGGGCACAGGAACAATTTCTGTTGTGGGGGTGCTGAGAGCCATTGAACCAAACTGTAAACCCTGTATGTGATGGGAACCACTTCAAGGCAGGGGGTGCAGCAGCTCGCCTAGCTCCCGCACCTATGGGAGAGTGGCAGTGGGAGCGGCTGCCCCAGCGAGTCAAGGGGGAGGGGGAAGCCCTCCCCAAAAAGGAGCGAGCAGGGTGGGTGCTTGCTGCCCTGGGGATTTGCTGGGCTATAGCCTCTGAAATGGGCTTTAAAAAAGGCCCACCCCAACCCTCTCCCTTCCCTGATGGTGCTCTTGGATCCAATATGACCCCACATGTAGCTTTGGAAAATCCAAACCCTAAGCATTGGGAATGGTTCTGGGAAGCTTCTCAGGGTACGTCTTCACTTACATCCGGGTCCGGATGTAAGCAATCGGTTTTCTGAGTTCGACGCGATAAATCGATCCCGGATCGATCCCGGAAGTGCCCCGGATCGATCCCGGAAGTGCTTGCCGTCGACGCTGGTACTCCAGCTCGGCGAGCGGAGTACGCAGCATCGACGGGGGAGCCTTCCTGCCGCGTCTGGACCGCGGTAAGTTCGGACTAAGGTACTTCGTTATTAACGTAGCTGAATTTGCGTACCTTAGTCCGAAGTGGGGGGGTTAGTGTAGACCAGGCCTTAGTCAGTCCCTGGGTAAACAAACGTGGGGGGGGGGGACACGGAGGAATGGCCTGTGAAAGGGACTAGCAACAAAAGTGGTGCTGATTGGTCTCTGCCTTGCCCCTGTTGAGAGAAATGCAAAAGCTAGACCCACACAAGCGTGCCAGCGAAGGCAATGAGATGGTGAGATGGACTTCTAGCTATAGCAAAGGACTTAGAGTGCAGAGTTCTTTTCTTGGCTTTCTTGCCTGAATTTGGACAAGCTGTTTCACACACGCTAAACCTGACCCCCATGAGTAACCCCTTGAAGTCACTGGAACTACATGTGTGTAAAAATGCTCCTGAATGTAAGCATTTGCTGGATTGGGGCCTAATCACTCTGTACTCTGTAAATTTGTTAGTCTCTAAGGTGCCACAAGTACTCCTGTTCTTTCTGTACTTAAGTTTTGCTATAAAATGGGACTAAAAATACCTACCTCAGAGGGTTGTTACAATTGCAATTCACTAATATATGTAAAAGTGCTATGAGATGCTCAGATTAAAGACTAATAACATAAAGTAGTAGTATTCCTATAACATACAGTATGGAAGTTTGATTTTTTTAAATACAATTTTTAACCACACACGCATGTCACCTCCAGAGGATTTTACTAATACAGCATATAAAGTTATCTGGGATCTTCTGGTTACAAGCTGTGATATAAATTCAAGATCATTATTAGGTTTATTTTGCTCATATGGATTTGAGCAAAGAGAGCAAAGAATATCTGTAAAAACGATTTAGGAAAGGCAAATTTAACTGCAAAATGAAGAGGTCCTAAAGGGTTTACATTTTACTGAAAGAGGGGAGGGATGGGGTAAGGAGCATTTCCTTCCTGCGATTTCTGCAGCAAAGTCCATCTTACTTAGAATATATGTAACAGTCAGGAAGATGCCTTTTTTGTACTGCAAGGTTATAAATTGTGTTTGGGGAGACTTGGATATGCTATGAGCACTTCTTAAGCAAGAATGTGGGATGACAGCTTTCCTCATTTCCTAGCCTCTCTACCTCTCAAGTGGGATGTTTATTAAAGAAGAAAGAAGTGTTAAATAATGTTGTACAAGTGTGCTCTAAAAGTTCAAATTATGTTTAGAAGCAAGTGAAATTTTGTTATGTAAATTATGCATGCCTTCTTTTGTGCCAGGAGTAGATATATGAACTGTCAGTCTTCCAAAATGGAATAGGAGAACAAAGAATTTGAGCATTGTTTTATTAAGCAATACAACAGGATGTAACAGAGATAATCATCTAATCTTGAGGTTAGAGCTATTTATTCTGATTTAAGTCAGGTAGAAAGAGATCTAGTAAATTATTTATAATCTTTCATAGATTCATCTGGTAAATGTGCAGGTAAAACCTTTACATTTCACCTCATCCAAAGGTCTCAAAGGGCTTTACAAGAATTAAATTCTGTGGGTTACTGACTGTAAATGAAAACGGCATTTCAAGATATGCTCTGCGTAATCTAGTGGGGACTACTATGCTACAAACTGATTTGTTGACCCTTCTTTAACTTATTCTAATGTTTAACAGTGTGATTAATCACGATTAATTTTTTGAGTTAATCGCGAGTTAACTGCGATTAATCGTCAGGCCTAGTAAGAATTTTACCTTGAACCAAGTCTAGTTTAAGTTCAAAACGCATTTTATCTTTATTTCTGACTGTAATACCTTGTACTTGTACTCAGTTAAAATCTATCTCAACATGCTCAACACATTACAACCCTGATGGTGCAAACACTTAGACATGTAAGTCGTCTCACTGAACTTGCCTTAGGCCTGATTTTCAGTGGTACCAATCACTTGCAGCTCCCATCGACTTCAGCTCAAGTTGTGGCTGCTCAGCATCTCCGAATATCAAGTCAAAGGTGGCTCAAGTTGGACTCCCAAAATGTGAGGCTTCCAAAAACACAGGACCCTTATGCAAATTTTGGCTCAAATGTATGATTTTGCTCCTGGCATGCAGCACTGTATACAGGGGCGGCCTGTCCATATAGGCGAACGAGGCAGTCGCCTAGGGTGCCAAGTTAAATGGGGTGCCAAATTCGAGGGGAAAAAAATCAAATTTAAAATAAATAAATAAAAAAAATGAAAAAGATGAAAAAAATACAAATAAAATAACAAAGATGTTATTATTTCAATTCCCATGCACGTATGGAGGGAATATGAATTATAATTCATTTTTCTACATTTCTGAGAATTATTGAGATGTCAAATGTTTTATTTACTGCAAAAATAAATAATATTTTAGTGAAATTTTTTTTCAATTTGCGACATAGGGTCAAGATGACCCACTCTGCAATTTTGATAAGCAATAATTCAGCCACAATGAAACACATCTGCCAGCGGCAAAAGCTGCAATGCTAGTGACACCTAACTCGAATACACATCAAGGCGGCATAGCTGGAAATTCATGTAGAGCGGAGATATCGTGAGTTAATACATGTCAAACGGTCGTTTTAACACATGTCACAGATAGATGGTTAAGAATCGAGTGAATACTGTGGAAAATTGTGTTTCTTGGTGCCAAAGAATAAAGAATAACGTCTTTCAGCATTATAAATCCAAAATGTGAGTATCTTTAAGCGTTATTAAATCTTAGCATTATTATCGGGCTGGATAATTATGAACTTTTCTTTGTTATAACTCAGGGGTGGCCAATCTGAGCCTGAGAAGGAGCCAGAATTTACCAATGTACATTGCCAAAGAGCCACAGTAATATGCCAGCAGCCCCCCATCAGCTTCTCCCCCCGCTCCCGCCCACTAGCAGCCCTGCCGATCAGCGCCTCTCCCTCCCTCCCACACCTGATTAGCTGTTTTGTGGTGTGCAGGAGGCGCTGGGGGGTGGAGGGGGTGGAGCGAGGGCATGGCAGGCTCAGGGGAGGGCGCGGGAAGGGGTGGAGTGGGGGCAGGGCCTGTGGCAGAGCCAGGGGTTCAGCAGTGAGCACCCCCTGGCACATTTGAAAGTTGGTGCCTGTAGCTCCAGCCCCGGAGTTGGTGCCTATACAAGGAGCCGCATATTAACTTCCGAAGAGCCACATGTGGCTCCTGAGCCACAGGTTGGCCACCCCTGTTATAACTGGTTCACATGTAATAAATAAGGTCCATAAAAGAAAAGTAATAGCGTTAACGCTTAATAAACTACGAAAGTGATGACATCACACACCAAGCCGGTAACCGTGAGGAAGGGGATTACTTTCCAAACAACCGGTGTCGGGTTATAACGTTGAAAAAGGTCATTTTGTTTCCGTGTAAACGCTGTAACTGACTGTTTTAATAGGTAAGTGAGTGTATGTTACTAATCATTGAACCTTTAAGCAGTGAAAAGACGTGTTCAGATGACTGTAATGTGGTTTGAATTGCCAACCATGTAGTGGGCGTGTCAGCCATCCTTAACGCTATAATGCTTGCAGTCGGGAGCACAGTACATAACAATATTCAACTGCCCCATGGCGGAAAGAGGAAAAAGAAAACCCTCAGGAGCTGAGTATCGTAAACGAAAGGCTGAGAAGGAAAAGGACCAAGCAAAACAGCAGGGATCCTTCCAGAAATATCTTCTCTTTAATCCAAATAAA